GATAACGAAAAGCCCAGAATGGCACACATTGTGGATATAAATGCATTTTTAACAAAAAGACGAATATATATCTCATGAATCTTATATAGTGTTGTTGTTGTCTGCTTTTCCCGCGGTTTTAAGTAGGTCACCAGTGACTTTGCAATGTCAGAGAGAGCTCCGTCAGTTAAAATCTCTTAAGAGATTTTAACAAAAAACCGTACGTTTAGGAAAAAAACCCTGGATTAACTTTGAATGCAGGAATGGGGTCGTTGGCCATTGGTAAGTACGGGAAAATTGCCGTTTTTTCCAGGAAAATCCAATTTTTGGCCAAAACGAAGAGTTATTATGACTTTAACTTTCGTGTCCGCCTGGCTGACAGCTATTTAGCGTGAACCCCCAGGGAGTTAGGTTGATCTAAAGTAGGTCGATCTAATCTATGGAAATGGGGTGTATAACTCCCTGCCATCCTCCCCTTCCCCTCCCCCCTCCCCCAGGGTAAGTCAAGAGAAGACATTTGTCTTTTTTTATTTACATGTACCTATATAAAACCAAGGGTGTTAACTAGAAGGATCGATTTATCTTCACTGTAACTGCACTTTTATTCTGCAGCTAAATTAACCTACCCCTGTGTTGTGTATGTAATGTGGATTGATGAGCACTGGTTGCAAACTGTTGGTTCTGGTAACTTTACACCTGGCTGGAAGGAAATGTCAGGGTTTGCTTGTTACCTTATTGCCAAGGGTTTAACATTACATGATAGACATAAGGCTTGTGTGCAGGAAATTTCCTTATTGCTATGGGACTGGCTGGCCCACTTGGTTTCAAAATCTTCTTAGGAATTTTTAGTGAAAGATGAGGAGGCAATAAAGTCAAAGACTAGGAATTCATAAATGTCGGGACATCCGATGCTAGTATTAATTTCCTTAAATCTGTGCTGTCTTATTCAGAGATAATTCTCAAAGTTACGTATTTTGTGTTAATGAAAGTTTGCTAGAGGTTTTACATTTGACTGTTCTCACATAAAACTGACATTGTTAAAGAGAATGTTCAACGGCCAGTTCATCTTATTATCAAAAGCCAGTTAAGGTAATTAATCAGCTTAGTTAAGGATCAGTATAACAGTGAAGACATCAGTGTTTGGGGAGCCAGTTTGTAATGCCTGTTTAAATCATTTATCGACAAATCAAAGCCTCATAATTGCATTGAAAAGACCTGTCTGTTGAGAGTTCTGTTAATATGCTTGTCATTAAAACACATTATTCATAACTCCATGGCGAGTTATGGCACTTTGAAATTGATGATTTAAGGTTCTATCACTGCATTATATATATTACATCATACAATTGGATAGTGTTTAGTACCATTGTTATGTTCATGCAGAGGTGTTGATAGAAAGTTAATAATGCTTTGTCATTCCAAACTAAACTGTACGAACACACACACAATGCAGCTGCTACAGACACAGACGTTAAAAGCTGGTTTTGGATGAAAATGTTAATAAAAGTGGGACATATGGGGTCTTAGAATAGTCCCCAAAATTGTCATTCTTGGCACAGTTGTCATTGTTAGAAAGCCAGCTTGTTAGTCTGTGCAGATGTACTCTTTGACTGACTCTAGTGAATGTGAATTGGGTTAATGTAACCATTTTACACCACAAAATACACAATTGTTTAAACATTTTGTGCCATTATCAAGCCGCAAGTCCCACTGTGGTGGTATTTGTGTTATATTATCCCTATGACATTATCATTAACTAGGAACTCCATGGAAAAAACTTGACAACAGTCTTAAATCATGCAATTACCATCTATATTTGGTTATAAATGCATGAATGAATTGTATTGCAGCAAACTGTGATATGTGGTCTAAAACCCATGGCTCTTGAAAACCTTAAGTGTGCAAATCTGGAAGGGAATCAAAATAACGGATGTCAAGTGAATTGAAAGTAATACTAGCATATGGCATTTCGTTCAATATTATGAGGTTTTTCCTTATCGTTTCCAAAAGTGTGAAATCTTGGATAATCAATGAGGAATTGTGTAATTGGCCACAGTGATTGAAGATGAAAGTCAGACCTGCAGTCAGTTGTAAATTTAAATAAAAGATCTTGTTCCAAGATTGTGCTTTATAACAATACTGTTATTTGTTGGGGTCAGCTATGACTGACTGCAGAGTGATGGAAGTGTTAGGGTGTAGTGGAGGCACTAGGAGAAAGGGTAAATGGACTAGCAAGGAAGAATGACATAACCAAAATTTAGTTGTAAAGAAGTGACTGTTCTCTTGTTTGAAGCAGAGAGGCATGAGAGCACCAGAAAAGAGGGATTAACGTGTATCAGGAAAGGATAATAGTAACCAAATAATACCA